GCCAAGTTTCAAGAAATGACTCGCATGGTTGAATGAGCCGAGCCCCCCTGTCCGCGCTTTGTACCGCTTCACTTCCCAGTTGGGCAAGATGCGCTTGCCGCAAGGTATCGAGCTGAACCTGTGGCCAACTCATCTAGATCTCTGGCAAGATCTGCCCAACCCAAGGGGGAAGCCGTCTGTCAGGCAGCTTCTCAATTCCGAAGAGTGCTTTCCGGTTTCCGGCTGTGGAGCCACTGTCAGCTTGCCAGAAAGGCCATGCACGTAAATGAAAGGAATCTGTTTAACATTTCCCGATGTCGAACCCAAAACACCCAAACAAACTCAAGGGAGTCCGTGCTAATTAATTAGTTCTTGGCGCCCTCTTTCTGACTCCACAGCCGAGCGGGAATGAAGCTCACAACTCCTGGAAACTTTGAGCGGGCAGCACAAGCTCGGCTTGGCTTGGTGTGACAGGAGTTGTGAGCTCAAGACAGGCAGAGTTTGTGCCGCAAGTTCTGAAGAATGCCCAGTGTGAGCAATTCACAAAGGAGTGCGGTTCTCCATGCTCATTTTTTTGTGTGGCTGTGGCCCTTGCCTGAAAAGTACCATTGGACAACACTCTTTGTGTAAATCCCGCGGAGAAATCCACGCGGACAGCGTGATGACCACCCCCTGCTAGCCCCGGGCAACATTTGGCAGAATTCGAATCAAACAAGCTCAAAGATTGATGGGCAGGCGCGAATCTGCATCTGTAAAAGTCATTGTGCCCAGAGGCTTTTTTTCCGACTAGGATGAGATTCATGAAATGCGTTATGATGAGTGCGGTGAAATGTGCCAAAGCCACATTGAACTCAGAAACGCCACATTGAACACAGAAACGGCAACAGCTAGCTCTTTGACAAACTCTGCCCGTTGCAGTGGAGTTGGGTGACCGTATGCAAAGAAGGCGATGAATTCTGAGCCAGGATGTACGCGCAAAACACAGTGATACAACCTCACAAAGCCATGCCTAAACAGATCTGAAAGGAATGCAGTGCATTCGGCTGCATTTGAAGGACGTCGGAAACTAAGTTGTTCAAAACAAGAAATCCATGCAAGTTGTAAAGCAGCCACTTTTTTATGTTGGCAACAAATGAAACCTCTTGGACAGTGTCATAGACATGTTTCGACTGAAATTGCTGCTCATGTGTCCATCTTCCTCAGGCTGCAGGACTCTTGTCAGTTGCTCGCGTTGCTGCCTGACTGGGCATCACTGTTCCCTCACGTCAAATCGACAGAAACCGAGCAAGCAAAAGAGGCGTCAGGCAGCGGCATGTCCCCAAAGGGAAAAGGTCCGGGACCCCAGGTCTCCCCCACGGCTTCCCAAGTTCGCACAAAAAAACAGCCCCGCCCGCAACGCGCGATTTGACCGCTTTTTCATTCAGCGGCGCCAGAATCAGAACTGCTGGGCTCCAGTGACCTGGCCACATCCCCGCGACTGGGTGTTTTCCACTTGAAATACCCGGGATTGAACGCGTCGCCTTGCAAGGCTCTTTGGGATTGACCTGGGTGCAAGAATCCAAAGTCGCTGCAAGCTGACTCAGAAGGCACCCTTCTCTTACCCGGAAGCCCCCCCAAAAAAAAGAACAGAAAACATGGAAGGTTCCGCAGGCAACCCCACTGAAATTCGTGGGCAAAATTCCTGAACGCGTGGGGAATTCATGTCAGCCACAGCCGCTCGAAAAGCCACTCTGACACTCCGAAAACCGGCTACATGGGCTGCTCGCAACTCACAAACTCGGTTGCCCAAAGGAGCCATAAATAAAAAGGTTTTCCTCTTGGGGGCATGGCTAAAAAAATGCTTGCCCAACAACAAAAAAAACAAAAACAGTTGCCAGGTCCGGTCGATTCGCTTTAGGCAAGTGAGACTTCCACCCCCAGAGTCGCCTCTGCAGCGCCGTTAGCAGCGCCGCCAACAGCGAGGCAGCCGTCCAGAGTAGCGCGTTGAAGGCCAGGAAGCCTCCCAGAGCGAAAGGAGCCTACAACTAAATCCTCGGAGCCAGCGAAACACCCCGACTGTTGGGCACCAACACCTTTTCCGGAAACCCAAAAACCTCTCTGGGAACCCCCAGAACCTGGCGCGCTGTGCGGCTCCAGGCGGAAGAGCGCGGTGCCGCGCAGCTGCAGCCTCGGAGCTGCACGCGAGCGAGGCTACAACACCAAAAGGCGCGAATCGCTGTGGATGGTCGCGAAATCCATTTCGCACCACCGTGAAACCCTGGAATGATGCGATTCCCAACGTAAATACCAACCAAGGGTGGTTTCAACCATGGTTTCAAATTGGTGCAAAATGGACTTTGCCCACCCACAGTGGGAATCGGCTCCCTACGGGTGGTGTCCTTTTGGGATTCCCAACGGCTGAGAGTCGCGAGACAATGGAAGAGAATGCTGGTGTCCTTTTGGCTTCCCTGTAAATGTTACCCGCTGTTAACCAAGAGAAGGTCCACCATGTTAAGAAACTTCCCAAACCAATGGAAAGTGACTGATCCTTCCTGGCGCTTTTCGAAATGGGAGTCTCAACTCCCATGACTGCTTTGTCACTTTCAATCTGCTTGGTGTCACAGAGAGAGCGAGACTCTCTCAGGGACGTGAGGAAGGATTCCGTAAGGCTTCGCTTCCGCTTCGCTTCCGCTTCGCTTCCAGCCTGAGAGGAGCTTCACTGGGGGCTATCCAGAACATTCCGGGGATCTCTTGGTTGACCTTGAAAGGGGAGCAAAAAAAATCCAGAAATGCCAGCAGTCAAGTGGTCGGAATGATTTCAAGCACTAAACCGCAATGAGCTGGCCTTCGAAGCCTTCAAGCTGGACCCCACGGCCAAGCAGCAACGGCCCACAGAGGAAGATCGCCTCATAGGCCGTCTCACCCAGGCCTGCGCTGAGAAAACCCGGTGCTGATCTCTCATCTTCATATTCACAACCCTCGAGATAGAAATACGTTTATTTCTAAAAATATGTACATCAAATTCGTATCAGCACCGTCGTCAGCTTAAGCGCGTCATGCCGGGCGAGCGTCCCCGAACTGCCACCACGGTCACTGGGACTTCTCTGAGCATTAGCTGTGGCTCGAATGCGCGGTTCGGCAGCCTGCAAGCCCTTGGCCCTGAGGCGCAAAGACAGGGCAGAGAAAGATGCGAGGAAAGAGTCACCAGCCACCAGGTCAGCTCCCCCTCAGATTTGTTTTGGTCAAGTGGACTTCCGCGTGAGGCGAGCGCTTTTTGCTGTGTGGGCGTGTCACAAAAAAGCTGGTCCGAAAGGATGATTTCCTCCAAATGCCACCAAAAGGTTGCCATGCTTCCTCCGGAATGGGCGTGCTTATTCACTGCGACTTGCATGTCCGGTGCCCTGTGGGCTGAAATTCGACAGATTCAAGACACATCTTGAAACAAAATGGCAGGTAGAGCAGCAGATTCCTTTAGCTATGCTCAGCATGCAGCAAGCCCATCATTGGCAACCTGTCTTCATAGGAAAGTTTTGGACCCGAAACCATTCAAAATCACATTTGGGGGGGGGGGGGATACAAAGGGGGGTTAACTAACCTATCATGTCTGGCTCCTTTGATCCGCGGCTGGCTTGGCCAGCCAGCCGGCCTACAAATGCTGGCTGCGAGAGAAAGCGAGCCAGCAGGCTGTGCTTGCCTGGCGAAGTCTCCCGATGTACACTTTGCTTTCCCCGCGCTTCAGGGTTCCGAAAATCACCTGCTTCCAGAGGGTATCCTCTACATCAGATCACAGGGATCTGTTGACACATCCCTGGAGGGTTCTCAGCATGCCGATGAAGTAATTCGGCCGATCAGATTTCACGGACGCAAGGGACTTTCAAGAAAGGAAGCTTCCTCATAGACGTCATGTTGGCCCTCAAGTTCCGCTGGCACAAACGGGTACCAACAATGAGACCGATGGGGCCGACCATTTGGGGAGCTCCCTTAACGAGTTCTGAAGAGGCCGAATAAGAACATGTTTTGGCCTGGCCATGTTCATGGGGTTGTGTCCTTGTTGCTGGGATCCGCGGCATGGCGGTTGCGAGATCTTCAAGTCAAAGCGAGACTTCCATCTTAAGACAAAAGCGCGAAAACCCCTCACTGCGATGCAACCCCTTGTTACATTGAAGGTAAGAATGCAACCTTTCCCAATCTGCAGCAAGTCATGCCATACGGCCTTTAAGATTCAAGGCTGGGCTGTTCAAAACTAGGTGTTGGCCAATCCGAATCCATAAGCCCTACATGGGTTTCCCACTATTAAAGGGCAGACGTAAGGATCAAGGATTGTCAAGGGAACAACCCTCCATCTCCGCTCGCCATCCCCCCCGCCAGCGAAAAGCGTCAGGGCCAGCCCTGGCGCTGCCAGCCGCGCAAGGAGGCCCCTTGGGCGTCACCATGCGCAACCCCGGCGCCAAGGTGTCAAGGGTCAAAACACGGTGGTTCAGGGACTTCAAACCAAAAAAAGAAATGGGCACTCCACATTTGACAAAACCGCAACACTGGTGGTATTGAAATGTGTCAAGATGTGCTACCAGAATGGCTAAGAGATTCAGTCGTGAGGCATTTACTAACCTTGTAAGAGCTCCCTCACTCCAGGCATCATGCGCCCACTTGTCTTTAGCAACCTCGTTGCAGGACATGCTTGACAAATACAGAAAACAAAACAATGGTCATTGGTTGCCATGTCCGAGACTGCTGCTCACTCAGCTCTGGGATGAGCAAAAACTACACAAAGAACCGCCGCGGTGCAACTTTTCTTGAGCTTGGAAGCTTCCATCTTCTGCTCAAACTCACTAACAGTAGCTGAGCCATTGCTCAGGACAATTGTTCACCCCTCTGGAAGCAAGCTCCCCTCAAAAAAAAACATGTTGCATTCTATGAACAACTGTTTTGGACACCTCATTTCCGATTGTGCACAACCGGGGGCATTGATTTTGACGCATTATCAAACATGTCCTGCCACAAACTGAGTGACAAGCCACAAGCCCAGCAAAGAAATGCCCCTTTCAGGCCTCAACAGGAATGGGCTCTTCAAAATCCAAACAACCAAATCCAAACCACCAACAGCAAAGGGCGATCTGCTTAGTGGATTTAACTGCATTGCCCACTTGCAACGAACAAAAAGAATGGCAAACGCCAACCTCCTAACTAATGGAATCAAAGCCTGAGCGCTGAACGCGGCTTTCGCTTGAAGCTTCCAACCACTACTCCCACAAAAACACGACTGTCACAAAACAAACCCTATATCTCAAAACTGGGGAATCCTCCAAAGGCGCGTGTGCTTTGGTGTTACACTTAAAGCCACCCCTTTTTTTCCATTCGGGTCTGCCTTTTTGTAGGGTGCCACCCAAAGTGGCTTTCCTTTTGGCTTCCCTTTCAAGCGCCCCGCCATGTTCTCCAGGCGGCTCTGGGACCGGCGGCTCCGCGAGCAGCACAACCACCAGCGCCAGAGCCAGCAGGTCTGCCAGAGCGCCTCGCGCTCCAAGTGGGGGCGTCTCATTTTGAGGGCACTCCATTTTTTGGGCCAGGTCTCAAACTAAACCAAAAGTTGACCGCCGTAATTTTTGGTTGGTCGCCCAAAAAAAAAGTGGGGGAAACCCCGTTTTTGTTTAAGGCTCGCCCACTCGGAGACAAAGCCCGAATGCCCAAACCTCTCACCAAATCCCCAAAAGTGTGCACCTTTGTCTCCAAAGCGAACGGGTAGGAAACCCAGAGCTTGGAAAGAGCTCTTCCTTCGCCCTCTTTCAGGCTCCAGGTGTGCCTTTGTTCTGATGCTTCAAATGCAGGGCGTTGGTTTACTCAAAATTCTGGCTTCCTTATACGCATCCTGCTCCAGTGAGGGATCCATACCAGTACCCAAGAATACCAGGAAGCTCAGAGATACTTCATGCAGGAAAGGAACGCACCCGGTCCCTGGACCAAACGCATCTTCTTTCACAACACCTGGACCTCCTGAAGCTTGTGTGATACACACGCCAAATCCCGAATCGCCGCCTGCCCGCCAGCTTGGTGATTGCTTCTCGGCTGCAGTGGAGACACAAGCGCCTCACACATTCGTGACTGCAGCTTCGCCCCCAGATTGTTTTTGTGGTGTCTCCCATGTCCGTGTGACCCATCCCTTTGTGTTGCACATCCAAGGAGATGCAACCAAAATGACAAGTGGGTGTGTTTCAAGGTACCCCTCTTTTTTGGTGGCATTTTACAGGAAACTAAATGGAAAACCCAAAATCCATGTGAGTCACACTCAAAACCTGGTACAATGGTCTACCCCAAACCATGTAAAGAATTTTGAGAGGGCGGCTGCACCCACTGGTTGGGATTGTCCCTTACTAACCTTCATCTATGTTGGGGGTCCAACCAACAGCGAAGCCCATGTGCAACTCGCCTTTTGGCCGGGCCCCCACGCCCAGCAGAAGATCCACCAAAAGCGCGGCCGGCCACAGCCAGGTGGAATCCACCTGACTCAAGGGACGGGTCAACACAGAGAGGCCCCTTCCTCGTGTCCCAGAAAGCTCAAAAGATGCGTTTGGAAAAAATGGACAACCCCAACTGGGCTGTAAATCACCCCCAGGAAGTCCGCGTCGTTTTAGCTAGCTCCCAAGCACAGCCAAGTTGAACCTTGCGCCATGGATGGATGCTCCTACCAAGCAAGTCAAGGTGCAGGAGTCAACTGACAGCTTCATGGGGTGAAGGTAAACGCCGTCCACCGAGGGCCTTTCGTTTTCAGCTCGCGCTGGTTTGTTGTAATGGCAAATTTGCGGCATCCCCAGCATCACAGGCCTCACTTGGGGCTTGCATGTTGGCTCTGATTGGGTGGCAGCTGCGAGTTGGTTGGGCGAGTTCAATTTAGGGGGTGTCTATCATAAGGGCTGGCATTTGGTTGCTTTGTGTTTAATCTAGGCTCAGCGAAGGGCTGACCAGGCTGCTGTTGGGCGGGTGTAGGCTTTACTTTGGGTGCGCTTGGGGTTGGCTTGGAACTGATTTGTGTTGGGTGCTGGGTTGCTTTTAGGGATGTGGCTACGTGAGTTGCTCACTTAACCACTCACTTACCACACCCTAAAGCAATCCTTAAGCCGCCCAACAGCAGCCTGGATGTCAGCCCTTTGCCCAGCCTAAATCGACCTCAAACCGATCTAAGAAAAACCAGCCCTAGCGCGAAAACAAAAACTCCTCCTCCTACCTCACTAGGGGACTAAACCTGCACGTGCCAAAGCATCGTCGTCTAAACGATGCTTCACCAATCCTAGGCTCCCATCAAGCGACTTGGCTTGAAGGGATGATTCGAAACCATACCGAAACAGTGGCCCGTGGCTTCTGCAGGGAGAAGAATTAAAGTGGTAGGTGACATGACTTCGTCAATCATTTAACCACCTCCCCAAAACACAGGCCGGGTTGACTTTGCCAGAGTGCGTAAGTTGTCTCCGTTCCTTGCCGTCCACGGCAACACGGCAAAAAGCACCATTTCAACCAAACCCAGGGTAAGCCAAGCTCTTCAAACTGGATGCTCCCGCCTGCAATGTGTCCCTTCACCATGAGTGCGGAAACACCTCCCTCCCCCGCACTAGCGCCTCTCCCCCCCCCCCACCTGGCGGGTCGCCGCCCAAAGCTGCGGCGCCGCAGCTGAGACCCACACCGCCAGCAGCCTCGAAGGAGAAGCGAGACATGCTAAAAAAGGGGTAGTTGCCAGTTGCTAGTGGTTTCCATCGAAACTGCCACTTTCGGAGGTACCAAACAAGGGAAATGAAGGAAGCGCTGCAAGCTTGGGACTACAAGGCGTCGGGGCAGGTGGGACGGACGCGCGCACGCGCGTGGCGCGGAGGGTTGTGGGCTGGCGCGGAGAGGGCTGTCCTGGATCGGATGTTGGATGTTGGATGAGTTTAGCATCATGGGGCGTCCAGGATATTAGGTTCTGTCGTCGTGGGGGGGAGGACTTCTTGGTCCTTTTCAGATGCCGGGGAAAAAAGGTCCCCCCTCCTTCGCAATCCCCCGAAACCCAGGCCCCATCCCCCGAAGCCGAGGCGCCACTTGGGGCGGCTCAGGCGCCGCAAGGGCAGCCAGGAGCAGAGGCTCCCCGCCAGCAGCGCGGAGGCCAGGGGCGCCCCCGGCACCGGGCAGCCCTCCTCGTCGCCGGGCGGATCGCTGCATCGATGCGCCCGGAGGTGGAAAGGTCAGGAGAGTTTGTGGCAAAACCCATTGAGTTTCAATGCATAACCTGTGCGAGATCTGGCCAGTCCCCAGTGATGGTGCCACCAAACAAAAGATTCCAATGAGTCCCCAGATATTTCAAGCTGACTCTTGGGGTAGGAGGCTTGGTTGAAGCCTTGATCGCGGCGCCAGCACTGCCTTGCTCTCGTTTTCAATTTACAACACCTACGATTCACCTATGTCACAACACAAGCTGAGCCGCTCACCTATGTATTTGCCTGCCCTTTTCACCGCGAAAACATCAACCCACTCCGCTCCACTCCGCTCCGCTCCGGGTCCCACCAGGGCCGCAGCAGCAGCTGGCAGCTCCAGGCACTGGATGTCACGGCATTCGAAAAGCACCCGGCTGAAAGCCTCCTGTTCGGGATTTGGCTTCAGTACTCGGGTATCACAAGAATACCCCAAGCCTGCGACAAGAAATCACCCTTCAGCGGCCTCCTTTCACGGCTCCAAAGGGGTGTTTCTCAAAATAGCCCAAAATGGTGCGGCTTTGTTCACCCCTTTGACAAAAATAATAATAGTGGTTTTCCTCTTGGTGTGCCTAAAAACTCACCCCCAAAAAGGGGGGGGTCGGTCCAATCCCCACCATCGAACCCGAAATCAAAGAACCGAAGCCGCAACGCCGCCTCCAGGCGTATCCTTGGAGCGCCAGCGCCAGCGCTGTGCAGCAGAAGCAGCAGCCACAGGCCCACAGCGCCGGAGTTGGGCCACCTGAAACCGAATCGGAGCTGAGTGCAAGTCGGCTCCAGCTGTGGGTCAAAATCCTGTACCCGCAGTGAACATCCCAATTAGGTTCTAAAATGGGTGGAGCCACTGGTTTTGACCCACAGCCAGCATCGCTTTTTTTCCCAAAGGCTGGGCGGATGGGTGCATGGATGGTGAGCGGATGGATGGGTGGGTAGGTGGGTGGGTGGGGGGGGCGGGTGGGCGGGCGGGTGGGCGGGTGAGTGGGTGGGTGGGTGGTGGAGCTTCCTTGGGTTTCTCTTTCCCAAAGTGTCCTTTTTTCTTGCCAAGCCTCCGAACTTCCCGGTTTTTTTCCCTTTCCCCCCCTAAGCCTCCCAGTTTCCCGGGCGTTCTCCCGGCCCCGCGCTCCCGGCTCCTGCGATCTGACAGCCGGTGCTCAGCAGCAGCAGCTCAATGGGCACCTCTGAGTGGCAAAAAGCCGCCAGCTCAAAATGGGCGGTGCAGGTGCCCCCAATGCATTTGTGGTGTTAAAGGAAAACAAACCGAAAGACACGTTGGTCTTTTCCTCTTCTTCTTGCTTTTTTTTTTGGGGGGGGAGGGGGGGGGAAAAGCAACAACCCCAAATGGGTATGGTTCAAAATGCAAGGGCTAGGACAAAGCGAAGGTTTTAGTCTGTGTTTCCATTTACCAGGGTGCCAAACAAGGACACAATGATCGAGCCACTGTCAAGTCAGTTCAAAAATATATTTATTCTAGTGTTTAATGGCGTGTTCACCACAGTTCGTCAGAAAAGGGGTGTCGCGTCAGTACCGCTCACTTCCGCTCCCCTGCCGCACGACCACAACAATACTGCGAACAACCAGAACAATCAGAACAACCGGAACAACCACGCCCACGGTGACCTGATCGACCAACACGACCGCGCCGACCAGCACCGAGAATCACCACCAGCAAATGATAACATGCAACAATGACTTTCGCGATCACGTGTACAAATTACGACGCTGACCATAGAGCAATGGCGATGACAGCAGCCACTTCAACATCCACAGCCACCAACGAAGCCCAAGAGCGACCATATCGTCACTGGCCCCTGTCCTCTGGCCGCTGGGTGAAGCCAGAGATCGCACTTTCGGGATGAGCGCGGCCTGCAAGGCAGCAAGGGCGGCTCATCCATGCCTTTCTGTGCTTTCCAAAAGGCATCAATCCAAGGGATCTGTGCCCAAATGCAGTCACTAGCCTAAGCAACCTCCGATAAAAACGAGACCAACGTCGTTTCGAATGATGTCGAAATCTCGTAAGAGCAATCAATGCTCGAGACAACCGGCCTAAAGATTACGGGCAAGAAGCACTTCTTGCTGTAGAGTCTGCTCTCTGCCAGCCGAGCTTGGCTGAAACCTGATCCAAGTCACCCCGGATATTGTGCTCATTGCAGCAAAATGAGTGCGTCTCTTTTCAAATAACGGCCAAAATGGCGCTCCGACAAACCCACACACAATTTCCACAGAGTGCAGCCGCAGAAGTTTTGTCGCTTGCCGCAGTTAACATATTTTCGGAGGATCTAACATGAGAATGTGTCAAAATGTATCACGCTGGCTTCCTTTTAATTAAGTGGCCGGTCCCAGGTTTTCACACACGAATGGAATCAAAGCCTCATGCTCCTCGGCAGGGAGAAAAGGCCCCCAGCATGCCTAGGATCTGAGAGGAGGTCATCCACAGGGCCGCCAGGCCCTGCGCACCCAGAGTGAGCTCTCCATTCATGCGATCCTCCCCTCTAACTGTCCCAGTCCAGTGTGTGGTTCCTTCTTTGGGGCGGAAGACATGCATGAGTTCACGAATACGCTGCTTTAGCCTGCTTTTCTTCATGCGTGTGCTGCGTGTGGCTGTTTGTTGCTGCGTGCGTCTGCCTCTGTGCCGTTTTGTGTTTGTGTCTAGTTGTGTTTGTGTTTGTGTTTGTGCTGGTGGTATGTGGGTGTGTGTGTGTGTTGCGGTGTGCTCTGGTCAATCTTGGTTTCGTCATGTGTCTTGTCCACTGCTGCTGAAATTCTTGGAGGATTGTGTTGAGGTAGAACACTCAAAATGCTCTCGCATGTCTGTAGGCGGCACCTTTTTCCCCCTTGCGGACGTATTTGGGCCAAATGGCTTCGTATGATCCTCCCGCCAGTCCCTGCTTCCGCAAGCCAGTCACAAGCAGTTGAAGAAACGCGTAATGACCAAGCCAAAATCGCAGATTCCTACAAGAGCACTGCTTCAAACTAATGATTTCAGTCACATGCTCCAAGACTGTATAGAGTTGAAGCAAACAAGACTCTGCCACTCCAATCCGAAACCTGCAGAGAGGGATCCAGGCGCGCTTTCAGAGCATGACACAACACCTCAGTGCCGTGGATGTGATCCAAGAACACAACCGCTGTGCCTCGCCATGACTACGATCTTCTCGCCGTTTCCTTTCAGATGCGGCAACAATCATGGCAAAAAGCTTGCCTAATCCCCCTCCAGTGCTTTTCCCTGCCCGCGCCACTGGAGCTTCCGACCCTGGGATCCGCCTTTTTGGCTCCTAACTGCCCCGTCGCTGGCCTCCGACTCCCAAAGAAACAGCTCCGGCATCACAGCCGGCAGCTGGTGGATAGTGCCTTGGCTCGCAATGTGCGCGAAACCGACCACTTTCTATTTGGGGAGCTTGATTCTTGCACCTATCACCCTACGCGCAAAGGGCAGTGCAAAAAACAGACGGTGGGATTTCTCCTGCGTGGGAGACCTCTCAAAGCGGGCATGCATCATTCACGCCAATACCTCTGCAACTCGCTCCCTGGAATCCTCCGGATGCCTAACCGCACCATCACCTATCCGCCCATTTGCTGTCTGGCCGCGGATGTGGAAGTCCGCTTCCTGCTGAAAAAAATATAAAAAGGAGCGAAGGCTGGCTTCACAGGAGACACGTCAAACAAGGAGCAAGGCAGCAATGCTCAGCTTGCCACGACCATACTTCGGGATCCCCTCCCTTTCTTCACAGCCGGCAGTGGATCGGTCAACATGAGTTGGCTTGTCGAGGGCAAAAAGGTCCCTCAGATTTCCTCGAACACGATTCCTCAAGAACGGCTTTCCACATCCGCATGCTGCATCAAGCGATCCCCCAATCAGCCTGTGACTGCGTCTCCCTTTGGCGAACAAAGCACTCGGGCGACCCAAGCTGCATACAGCACAGAGCATGAAAAGGGCCCACGTGCATCCACTCCAAACATCACCCCACAGCGCCCAAGTCTCCAGTCTCCACCTTCCCTTCCAGCCCCCAGCCCTTCCCCCCCCCTCTCCGGGTAAAGAGGGAAGATCATGTAACCACCCCCCGGGTAAGAGGGAAGATCATGCACTCCCCCCCCCAAGCCCCCCCACCCCCCCCTCCATAGCCCGTTTTGAGAGCTCCTCGCAGCAGATCTCCTTCCGTCTCTCGCGGCAGCGGAGGCCCACCAGCACCGTGCGCCAGTCCATGGCTTTGGCGGCCCGGATGTTCTTCACGCCTCGAAGGCCGGCGAAGGGCGCCCAAACGTGGAAGGCCGGAGGTGGGTTGACTCGTTGGGTTTGGGTGTGTTGCCACTCTCGGCAAAGGCACGCTGCAAACCAATTCGTCTTTATATATATATATAGTATAGAGAAAGACATCTTGCCCTGGCCGCTGCAATGGCGTGGTCTAAACTCCGATCTTCGGTGTGGGTCATGGTCGACTGTGGCACACCTGAGTTGCAAACCACAGTCACCCAAACAAAACCGTTCCTTCAGTTCCAAGGTTGCGCTTTGACGTCGGCCACTTTAGCCTGTTCGAAGGGAAAAACACGAGAGAGTGTCCAAGAGTGACCCCAAAATGATGAATGTCCTTTTGACCATGAGGGATCCTCATTCCAACAAATATTACCTGATATCAAGCTCCGCCCCGCATGCACAAATGTTGCTCCACCAAGGTGCTGTCGTCGCAGAGGATACAGCACTCAGGCCTGCAACGCCACAGCTTTGCGAGATTTGGGCTGTCAAGGCACTGAAAAGCATCAATAGGGATTTTGCCTGCTTTGTGACAATTTACCTTCTGACTGCTCAAGAATCGAGGCTGGTCATGATCTATTTTTTTCAGGGGCGATCAAAGCATGCCCATCTCCGGAGAAACCATCTCCGGATTCGCCAAAGCCGTTTGGTCGGCGACTGAATCAATCTTCACACAACTTTCCGCCGATCGGAAACTTTTTTCTGAAGAAACTTCTGGACACTTCGCATGGTGCTGCCGGGGCACCGATGCACACCTGCTTCCTTCATGGCGACCTGGAAGCTGCTGGGGCTGTGCTTCGTCTCCAGCCTGGCCAGCATGTTCTTTCAGCCTTCCCAGGTCGTCCAGTAGAGAGGTTAGAATAAGGGTACCCTTTTTTTTCTGTAGTCTATTTTAGGGGAACCCTCCCCCAACAAAAGGGGTGAGAAAGGGCGCTGGGGGACCTAGTTTACTTCGAGCTCGATTGGCTTCTTGTTTGATTTCCCTGTGGTTTCAGTGTGGCCTCGCAAAAAGCCCTCTTTGGGTCCTGGTTGTTCTCATGGCTTTGAGGGCCCGGCGGCAAGAACGGCCGGGAGCCAGAAAGAGACCAAGGGGACACACCACAAGAAAACCAAGCGGAAGGGGACACCCAAGGGAAACCAAGAGAGATAAACAAAAGAGAGTCAAATGCAACGGACGTTATAAGTGTTTGACCGCCTTCTGTTGAAAGTCACCCCTCGATCTCGATCACACCATGGCCCCATGGCAACCCTCAAAGGAACCGGCCAAGCTATACGGGTTGGCCTATGTGTCTCATGTCTGACCCCCGGAAACCGGCCCGCAGCGTTGTGGCGTTCGAAAAGCGCATTTTGTTTGCCCGAGTCACAAGCTGAACTCATCAGAACAGTACATAGCCCACAAATGGTTTTCTTCCCAAGCTGCACACTGACGCTATATCACTCACCAAGTCCGAAACCACGGAAAAGCTGTGCTGATGAAGGGAACCCACCAACTCTGTTTTGCGTGCACAAGCGATGTCACCACATTGCCATCCGAATCCACGTCGCTTTCCAAGTGGTCTCTGGCACTGGACAAGGAACAAATGAGCCTCAACAGACTGTCAAAAAGGCCAGGCCTGGCGCGGGCCTCACGAGCACATTCCGCATGATCTAGGTGCACAGAACCAGAGCTCAGGATTCACAATCCGGATCCTTGACTTGCGGAACCTCGGCGAATCTGGCCCCTTCTTTTGAGCAATGCCTTTCCACACACACACACACACACACACACACCTCACCCCCTTGAGACCCCCCCATTTTCCGTTCTGCCTGCAGGCCCTGGTGTCGATGACCTCGAACTGGGGCAACCCGAGCTGCCGGATGCCTGGGTCATTGGCTTGCGCCACGGCGCGCACTTCTCCCCCCAAAAACTTGCTAAGTCCCCCCTCCGAGCGCTCCTGGGAACTAGGGAAACCTGGCAGAAGCAAATTGGAAACCTTGAAAACCTTGGGAAGCGCGATTTCTCTTGCAACGACCCAAAAAAAATTGCAGAATGGAACCTGGAACCTGGGCCTTGTGACTTCTCAAGGGCTTCTCTTGCTTGACCTTGGATCATCAACGCGGGCTCCTCTCTTGTTACATTGAAAGGAAGCAGTCCTGACAAGAAAATTCACATGAATCAAGTCATCCCCGATGCGCAGCTTGGATCACCAGGCCCCAAAGTTCAGATCATCGCCTGTGCAGGGCCTGTTCTGATGCTCGATCTGGAAAACAAGGGGTCGTGCAAACAAGTTGAAAAGCGAATCCCTCATGCAGCCAAATTTTCGGGGCACAGCCGAACCGGGGGCAAAACCAAGAGCCTCGTAGATCAAGTTTCATCAAGCGAGCGAAGGGTTTTCCACACTGGGGTCCGCACATCTCTTCACATGCCTTGGGCTGTGAGGTGTCACGCTGTGGACTCCCTGGATTTCTGCTTGAGGAGCCTTGTCAAACAGGTCTGAAATATTTGCGCGCGCTGCCTAACTGCTCGGCCGTCGCTCGTTGACCGGTGTCAAATGTGGCAGTCTGGCGTCCACTGATGTTGAATGCCCTGAAATGGCCATCCCTCTC